CATAATATTATGAATATCCTTTGCTAGCCACTTTAAGTCTGGCCCTTTATTTTCAGTGGAATAACCCCATATGTTATCCAACTGGCCTGAAAGATTAACTCTTTCCACCCCCTCTTTGGAGTTAGGTAAAAAACTTTAGTCTTCTTGTCATAAGCAAAAGAAAAAGTTTGGGGTTGCTCTTGTAAGTGATCAAAGTTTAAGTTTGGGTTTGGGATACTAGAGAAAGTGGTAAAAAAGTTCAAAAATTTTGAGAAAAAAATCAAGAAGTTAAAACAACTTCTTAAAAAAAAGAGAGAGAAAGAATGAAAAAGACATATAGAGACCACAAAATACATAAATCTCTAGTACCAAGTAGAAGGAAAAGAGTTGGTATGATAATGAAAGGAGAAGTAGGAACCTAATTCCAAAGGTTTAAACCTACTATCCCAAAAATATCCTACCCGAACATAAGGCACGTTACATCCAAAAAAGCCCTCAAGTGTGTGTGTTTAGATTTCTATGATAAATTTTATTAGAACATGACCAAACTCAGTATAAGCAGTTATACATGTTGATTGAGAGATCACCCTATCAATTGAGTGAACTATAGTGAGATGAGAGACATGTTGAGTACTTGCTAAAAGTTGAGAATGTTTTCTGATTTTGTCGGATTGCAATTAGAAGCTAGAATGTTGATCAGGTAAAAAATAATATATGGGTGATGTTCAATTGTTACTATTGTAGTTTGTGTTTCTGTTTGGAATTTTTAGTTGTAGGCAAGTTACTTGAGGACAACCAACAAATTAAGTTTGGGGTTGTGATGACACTCCATCATTTCATATCTTCTATCGAAGAAACAAAGAAAAATGAACCGAAAATCACTTAATTTGATGAAGAATAGCCAAAGAACGAAGCAAATATGCCCAAGTATGAAGAAATAGAGACTTGTAGAAAATTGACTGAAAAATGGGGCAAACACGTGTCAACCACTAAAATAACCACACCACCATCGTGTGTGTGATGAACCTGGGTAACTTGCATCGTGCACCATCGCGTGCGTGATGGACTTGTCACACGCGCAGTGGGCCTTTTTATGGGAATTTTGCTGACGCAATCTAACAACTCCTAAAGGCTTTTAAAAAGGGTTTTTGGTACTTTTTTTAGGGTTTTGCGATTTTACACTACAAGTAGCGATTTACAACACCCGAAGGCATACTTGGTGTGCATTGGAAGCCATTGGAGGTCAGTTCTTAAAGAGATCTCTTATGCAAACCTCTTATATTTTATTATTATTGTAATTTACATTATGATTAGTTAATTCTCTCATAGGTCAGAATTTGTTTGAAGAAACTTTTTTCAATACTGTTGGGACACTTGTTTGATTTCTTATTGCATAATTAATTGGAGTTATTATTTTATTCAATTGTGCCTTATTCTTAATGCTTTTTATGTGAGATACTCTTTTAATCTGATTTTGGGTGCATATGGAATACTGACCACTAGTCTATACGTTGGACCTAGGGAAATTGTTGTGCTTACGCAAATTGAATAGGAATAGGAGACCTCGAGTAGTGTCTTAGAAATTAACGTTCTATTGCATTGCCTAATCTTGCTTATGTTGGTGGACTAGAGATAGGAAACTTCGAGTATTGATTAGTGAGTTATACTTTAAGAGATTGGGTATATCAGTTTTGTTAGTTCGCATTGGAACTTTAGCAACAATATCAGTTATGCAATACATCAAACATCAACAATAGAAAACTAGGGGATTCTATGCAAAACCTAACCGCTTCCGTATTATTGTTAGAACAAAATTTTATTCTTTTTCGCATTAAAACTCGAAACCCCCCATTTAGTATTTTCTAAACATTGGATAATTTTTGTCTTATTAAATAGAAGTCCCTGCAGATTCTATCTTTTTATTACTTCGACATTATCTGTACACTTATCGAGAAATCATCATTTATAATATCTCTCTTATAAAATAATTGTTTTTGTAAAAAATTAAAATGATTGATTTATCTAATACAAGTTTCAATAGTTTTTGTTTTTAATCATATTATTTATAATATTGTTGTTTGATTTTATCTTCTACATATATTACTATTTCAACTTAAAATTACTATTATTCAAGTTTTTTCTTTTTTCAACTTTTTATTTTATTACAGTCCGCAAACAAATACACGTCCAAAATTATATACCGCTATCAAATATATCTCATACGTAACACATATTTGTTGCTAGATTGTTCAAAAATAGAATATAGTTCTCAAACAATACAAAACAAACGAAACATAAGAATTACCTTCCGACCTACCAATAAACCATTTTCAAATTATGAAAATGCTCTTCATTCACATACTTCACATTCGTGGACGGACCTAAGAAAATAATATGATTCCAAAAAATTTCAAATTGACCAAAATATAAAATGTGAAATAATAATGAGTTCATCCCTAACCCTAACCCTAATCCTATATCAAAGAGGCAACACTATAAGTGTATTTGTGTTCATCGAACTTTTTCCTAAGAGTATAATGTTAGGTGACTGAGTATATGGTCTATCAATAATATTATTGGCAACAAGTCTAGAAATCCAAAATGCTTCTACCTACTATGATTAAGAGGAAATAAAGAAGAAAAATATAAAATTGGAAGTAATAGATTGATAAACAACTAAATAGATGTATACATGCAAAGAGATTAAATGAATCATATTGTTGAAAAAATGCTGTCGTACAGGGTTGGCAAAGGTTAGCTATCGTGGTCACGTTTTTAGGTCAAGTGCTATAGACAAATGTTATTGGTATCGAATCAGTGCACCCCACAAAATTGCCTTTTACTATCAAGTTAGGGCCACAGTACGTGTGAGACTTAATTCTGGCTTAGCTGGTCATTCCAAATCAAACCCATCTTTATTGTTTTGCTAACTTAACCCATCACTATTTAGGTGAAAAGCATAAAGTTTTCCAAATTAAACCCATCACTACTAAGGCACTTTCCTAATATATATATAAAGGAATAATTTCTCAATAAATTTTATTTTCATATTATACAAATAAAGTATTTTCAAAATTGAAGAAAGATACATCATCATTATTATTATTAATAGATTAAAAGATATAAACTATTAAAACTTTGTAACATATATAGTCAACCAGCCAATGAGATCTCGTCACGTAGATGTATCTTGACATGTTTTTATTATATAACCAATAGTGACATCATGTTTAAATCTTATTTGGCATTTATTCCTTGTAAATAAGCTTTATAATTTAAAAAAAAAATTTAATTAAATAGATGTCTATTTTTTTTTTTTATTCTTCTAGTACAAAGTCATTAAACTTGTTTTAATAGTTATAGAGTTTATCGATTGTTAGTTGATTCAATGGTAATTAATATTGGATTTGATAAGAAAGATTATAATTTAATTTTTTATAACTGTGATTGAAAGGAGGTTAAAATTATTTGATGTTAGAATTAATCTTGAATCAGACTATATGGATGGTGAAAATATATATATATATATATATATATATATATATATATATATATATATATATATATATATATATATATATATATATATATATATATATTTTTAACCTAAACTGTAAACAAAAATGTGCGAAGATGCAAAGATAAACTCCCACCATGTTTTATAAAGAAAAATAGATTTTATAATAATAAAAGCCAAAATGATTTGTATTTTGTTAAAATTAACTTGTAAGTTTCTACATCTTAAAAATGTGAGTATTTATGTAATGGTCATATAAAAATATTTATACTAAAAAAATATTAAAAATGCTTTTCAAATGTTTTACTTTAATCTCATATTATTATTATTATTTAAATGGGTGGATAATGTAATTCAAGTGATATTCCTAATTGATCTAGTGAATATAAATTGTTGATTGATGGTTCAATCCTGACAGAATATTTCTTTATAGTTTTTCTATATATTATGTAAAACAAGTTTTAATAATTATAAATAAACAACTTTAAAAAAATTCCAATTAATACTTGCACAAATAACACAATTGTGTATATGATTGAATATATGTTTGCAAAATATTTTAACATAAATAATTAAATTTAATGATAACTAACATTTCTTGTTTTATTCTTTGTGAACTATTACCAATGATAAATTTGTAGCCTAATATTCTCAAAATAAGATAAACTTTTAAATACTATAAATAAATACAAATATTAGTCTTTTTGTGTAGGATATCTAAATTCTTTTATTGTTGTCACCAATTTGAGCTTTCTTTTAAGTTCATATTTATACAAATATTAGGGTTTACGATTTATTATTTTATGTGGTCATGTTTACCAATTTTCAACTTATATTTTCGGGGTATTCTCTTTACAATCTTGATGTTGGCTTTTTGGAGAGATGTAATATTGATAACTGGTACAATTTCTTTTTGTATAAAACTAAACAACTCATCAAATTATAAATCTATGCATTATAACTATAATTTATTTATTGTTCTTGAAAATATACTAATATCTTATGATAGTACAATTATATGTGTGACAGTTCATTTAATTATTTCAATAATTAATTCCGTGCCACTGTAAAAAAATATATCTAACTTGAGAAAAGATTTCACTAATTAAATATTACATGACTAAATGTATAAATAAAGTGATTATGAGCTTTATTTTATAGAAAAAGTGATTATGAACTTTATTTTATTAGAAAAGTGATTATGAGCTGGCTCCACTTATTTATCAAAATTTTAATATTAATTTAGGAGATCAAGTTTATCATATATAAATACACATTCTCTCAATTTTAGGGTTAGGGTTCAGCATACACAGAGAGTAACCCCTCCTCCTTCTCTCTCTCTCAAAGTATATCTCTCTCTCTCTTTCTCTCTCGGTCTCTCTCCACTTAGTTTTTTTCTATACAAGTTTATGCTTTTGACTAATTAATCCCCCAAAAAATTGAAAAAAAATCATCATAATCTTTGCAGGTTTTAGAAGAAAAAACAAGGTATAAAAAAAGAAGAATGAGGAAGAGACAAGTGGTTGTGAGAAGATCAGAGGAACCACAAAGGAGTGTTGTGAAATATGGAGAGTGTCAGAAGAATCATGCAGCTAATGTTGGAGGTTATGCAGTTGATGGTTGCAGAGAGTTCATGGCAAATGGTGAAGAAGGTACAGATGGTGCTCTGACTTGTGCTGCTTGTGGTTGCCACAGAAACTTTCACAAAAGAGAGTTAGTTGAAACTGAATCTGTTTCTGAATGTTCAAATGGTACTTGAAACTGTTTTATTATACCTCAAAAAAACAGTTTGTTATATATTGTATTCTTGTAATATATTTTCTATCTCTACTTGGTTTTGCTTGTGTTATATATATATATATAAGACTTTATTGGTATTTTAGTATATATTTTTATATGCTAAAATTATCTTTCTAGAGTGAAAATATTTAAGGTTGATTTGTGTAAAGGGTAAAAATGGAAAAGTTTTTCAGAAGCTATTTTTGTTTTAGTTAAGAGAAATGCAAAGTTATGCTGAGATTTTGCTCTCTTTTTATTTTAGTTAGGTATGTATTTTTTTTCCTTTTTTTTTTTTCTTCTTTTTATTATTACTTTATGATGATGAGTTTGTATGAGTTGTGTTAAGGATTTGTTTAATGGCTTTGAACTTGTTAAAGCTATTTTTTTTCAGTTTGATAAATGATGAAGAAGTTGTTTTTTGTTTTGTTTTGTTTTGTTTTGTTTTTGGTTGGTTATGGAATTTTGTTTAGTTTCTGTTTGTTTTTGTTGGATGCTGATTTTGATTCCATTCAACAAAATCATATGATATCATATCCTTGATGCTTCCACAATATACCAAACTCCACTTGCCTTTGCTTTGTAAAATTTTTACTTTATTATTTCATTTCTTAATTAATTTTTCTACATGGTGAAAAAAATTGTTCAATAATCACTTTTACTATATCATTTGCATGCTATAAGTTTTTTCCAGAGTCTAACTTTGTGTCATGTATAGCAATTATGGAAATTTCTACTAATATAAAATTTTCCTTTCATAAGATAAATAATTTAAGCTTGATATTAATGTTACCAACCACAATTTTTCATTATTTTCTCTCTTAATCTTGATAAATCCACTAACTGATTTTGGTATCAATCCACTAGTTGGTGTTTTGTTTGAGATCAATATAAGGTCCACATGTCTAATCATGTTGGTTGTTGAATAAAGATGTTTCATTAAGCTTCATGCTTATTTTAAAAGTTGATTTAAGCTACTTCAAACTCAATAGAGGGAAATAACACTTAAAGTGTGATAAGAAGGCATTAAATATGATTATGTTACATTGTTTTATCTCTCTACTTACTTGCCAAAGTAAAAGTAACACAAAAAGACTATGATATAAACTACCTAACCTAGTTTTATATATAAGAATATTCCTATATATATATCATGGTTTTGCATATGGTTTGGTTAAACCCTAAATGGAATGAAAGCATCATTTTTTTTTCTAAATTTTTTTGTTTTTGTTTTGTTTTGTATAGAAAAATATATGGTTAATACTCTTTCGATGCGGAATTGTTTGCTTGTGACTAGATAGAATATATTTAGTAGAAAAGAAAAAAAGATGATGCTGAGATTAGAATTGAAGGTAGATAACATGTATAGCAATGAAACTAAAAGACAGAAAGAAACACAAGTCATTTTAGTTATTGAAGCAAGAGTGGATGCTAACTAAAATTAACATGTATAGAATGTGCAAAGGGGTAAGACACTTATTGTGTTGCTTCTCTATAGCTAGCTTTCATAAAAAGAAGATAGCAAAGTACTACTTTTTGTGTATGTATAGATATTTTTCATGTGAGATGCTTGAATCAAAAGTAGACAAGTTAGGCATTTGAGCATGGAAGGAAACAAAGTTTTAGGTATATGTTAACACAAAATCAGGTATATGTCTATTCCAATGTTACATTTTTGAAATATATAGCTAAAAGGTGTCTTTTCCAACATTTTAATATTTTTGCCTAAAGAATGAACTTTGCTAGCTATGTATTTTGTTGAGATGCTGTCATTAATCTGTTTAGCAGCAGAAGTACTATGCTTCTAACTTAGCAAAAGCATCTTTTTCTATGACACGCATCCTAATGTATGAATTGTTTATATATATGTTTGTTTCATCCAACAGTTTTCTATGGTTGCTTAGAGTAATTTTATTTACCAGATTTTATATAATTTATATAGTTAGCTTTTATTCACCAACCTATCACATTTCTCTCTTTCTAACTATTATGAATGTTGATAAATTAGAGCACGGTTTCAAATTTTTATTGCATTGGTTATTTTTAGGTAGTGATTTTCAAATTTACATTGGTATATACTAGACAAAATAACTCCAAACTAGATAGATAAGAATTACAACTACTAGTTGAAATCGGCTTCACACCATACATCATGTCACGAATGATTGAGAAAATATAGACAAAGCTTGTAGGGAAAATATAATCGAAAAAACATTAATATTTCAGCCGATGTAAGAAAATATTGCAATAAAAGCCCTTAAGAGTAGTCTAATCGGGATAAATATTAACCCGTCTTCTCTTCAGATCACTGGGAATTTTTGTATTTTAAGATTGAGTCGTTTTCGTTTCGATATTTTGGGTTGCTAGTTGGAGCTAACCCGTAGTTAGAATCAACTTGGGATCAATATGTCAATATTCTTGTTTTCTACCTATCATTTCTTAAGATGTTTGTAAAAGTGTGGACAAAGTTAGTTAGAACTTAAAGGAGATTTCTTTGGAGAGGGGTGAAAGGGATTTCTAAGATTTCTTGGGTTAGATGGTCTGAACTTTATAAGCCTACAAAGTGTGGAGGCCTTAGTGTTAAAGATCTCTGAGTAGTGAACCTAGCCATTCTTGCTAAATGGAAATGGAGATTATTGATATTTTTGTTGCCTATTATAGTTACTTTATTGTCTCTTCTTAGTTTGTTGACAAGTCTTTTGGTCGTCGTAATGAGTTCATCCCTAATAGTAAGGATTATCTCTTCTTGGTTTCAAGAAAGATAATCCTCCGAATTAGTTTGAGTTGGGGTTACTTAAGAAGGTTGAATCTGGTCTTTCGACCTACTTTTAGGAATACCCTTAGCAAGTTCTTGTTCCCCTTAAGATTAGATTCTAAAGACTTTTCACTATTTCTCAAATTCTTAAAGAGATGGTAGGTGAGGCTGGAGAGGAGTGTTTCATGGGATGATGACTTGGAATCTTAGATGAAAAGGTTGTTCTTTGTTCATAAAGAACCTCATGTAGTCAATTTTTTCTCAGTTCTCCAAGAGATCCGTCTTAATACGAAGTTTGAAAGGTGGATTTGGAGATTCACTCGAGATGACTCATTATCTATGGCGTTTGCTTATCATGCCATGTCTAGAGTTAGTAAAATCTCATAGGAGCATGTAGCAAATGTGTTCCAAAATCTCCCTCTAATATGGAGGATACCTTATGTGCTCTTTGTAGAAATCAGGTTGCGTCGGTATCACATTTGTTTGTGACTTGTAGTTTGACTTCCAATGTCTACTAGTATGAGGTTTTTAGATTGTTAAGGGTTCTTTCAGTCCTTTTGGGGGATCTTAGATTAGTTTACGAGTTTTTCATTTCTTTAGGTCCTACGACTAAGTTTAGAAGAGGGTTTATTATAATTTGACAATTGACGGCGTGGACTATCTGGTCTATATGAAATGATAAGTTTTTTACTAGTTCGTCAATAAATGTGAAAGAGGTGGAAGAGTATCTTTTTGGCATGGAGTTAGTTTTCTGGTAGATCATCTCGGATCTCTCTCTCTCTCTCTCTCTCCCAATGACTGACTTTAAATTCTTATTCTATGTATGATCTAATAACGGATCGAGAGTCTAGCCTGTCTCATTGGGGTGCAGTGGTTTTAGGTATTTCTCATGGTTCTCGTCCTTGGTTGTGGGTTTGTTGGTTGTGTACCAATTCGGTTCTTGTTGGATGATGGCTTGTTGGGTGAGTATCGGTTGGTTTTCTCTTTTACTTTCGATTTGTTTTTGGTTTTTTGTAATTTCTTATCTTTTTCTTTGGTCTGTCTATTTTTTAAAATTAAATTATAAGGTTAATACACATTTTCCCCCTACTATTAAGGGTGCATTCGCAAAATAACATTGTAAAAAAAAACATAGATTGCATTCTTGCCCTTTTAAGATTTTCCTGTTTTGACTCCCAAGTGAATTTGATCAAAGAAATCTGTGATATGGCGCACTATATGGCTTTTTATTTTTATTTTTTTAATTATGACACAAATTTTTCATTTAAATTTTTTCATATTTTCAAGTTGACATTTTTCTAATATTTTCAGCTAGGCAGTCCTCCATAGAGTGCAAGGCCTATACCATTAGATTGTTGATTCATTTATGATAAAGATGCTTAAGAAACTATTTATCACATGATTGTTACTTCTCTTTATTTAATATTACAATATTTATTACATGATTTTTTAATAATATAATTTAGGTTAAATACATTTTTAATCTCTATATATATTTTAAGTTTGACTTTTAATTTTTATTAAAAATATCATATTTTAATTTTTATAAAATTATTTTTGTATGACATTTTAGTCTTTCTATAAAGACTAAAATTACGTACATAAATAATTTTATAAGAATTAAAACATGATTTTTTTTTATAGGAACAAAAAATTAAATTTAATAATTTTATAGGGATAAAAAATATATTTAACTTTATAATTTATACGTTTATTTTTCTTCTCCATTTATTTAAATAATTATGTTTATTTACAATATCTATACGGTTTCAATAATTTAAATTTTTTAAATTTTTTATTTCAATAATAAATATGTATTTTACTTAAAGTTAATATTACATATTTATATACATAAACACGAATTTTATTTATATACACGTATATAAATATTAATAAAAAATACTTATAAATATTATTAAAATATGGAGATATTTATTATGCATGTTATCTTTAAATATTTTAAAAATAAATATTCAGACATATGTCAACCTAACTATTTACAAAATAATTTAATTTACAAACTATTACATATGTATTTGTCAATATAAATATATATTTAAACCATGTAAAGAATTAAAAGTATTCAAAATAATAATCATGTAATAAATATTGAAATGAATATATTATTATTGTGTATGTATTTTAGATTTTTGTATATATATTTTATATGAATGTAATAAGTATATAGATTGCAGAATTATGCTAAAAGAAATGTTGGTTAAGTTGAT